ACAGGACAGCGACTAAAGTTTATAAGAAGCAACCAAACACCCCCTTATCCTAGATTCGCCCCTGTAAACAGCATAAATCACAGGCGCAAGAAACATTGAGGCCTTGTTTAGTTTCAAAAAGTTTTCTCAAAAAGTGCTACAGTAGCCATCACATCGAATCTTGCGATACGTGCATGGAGCATTAAATGTAGACGAAAAAAAATTAATTGCACAGTTTGGTTGGAAATCGCGAGACGAACGTTTTGAGCCTAATTAGTCCATGATTGAATACTAATTGCCAAATAAAAATAAAAGTGCTACCGTAGCCAAATTCTCAAATTTGGCCCAACTAAACAACGCCTGAATTCAAGTAACCGAACTCTTAGGAGCTCTAACCTGGAGAAGAACGCTTGAAGGATACTAGCTGCAGGGGACAGCACTTGAAGGAGTACTAACCGAAGGAGGCTGAGGTTCTGAGATGGATGCCTCCATTATTGCTGTAATGTAGGAGTATAAAGACAGCAGACAGAAGCAGGCACCAACCGTGTACAAAGGCAGTTGACTTGACCGAAGCCTCAGATGCCCAACGAGTCAGGCTGTGTTGGGTTGGAGGGAAAGTTGGAATTTGGGTACCGTAGCACTTTCGTTTTTATTTGGTAAAATAGTGTTCAATCATGGACTAATTAGGCATTTGTTTCGCGATTTCCAACCAAACTGTATAATTAGTTTTTTTTTTCGTCTGCATTTACTGCTCCATGCACGTATCGCAAGATTCGATGTGACGATACTGTAGCATTTTTTTGGAACTATTTTTGAACTGAACACGCGTTCAGTCAATGGCAACATGAGAGGATATCGTCACGCGCTTTTGTGATGCGGGGTTGGTAGTACGTACCACGAACCTTCCACTGCTACGTGCACAACATATCTGAAATCCCCCAGGGAAGATATCCATAAACTGACCTGTACTGAGACTAATGCATGATGGATATCCGATATTATCCGTATTTGTGACGAATATAGTACAAGGTGAAGTTGTACATCACTTATGTAGTTATATGTCCCTGTCCCTGTGACTAATGACTAATAAAAATATTAGTTAGTTTTAATATTACTGAGATATACCGAGAATTGTGCTTTGGATTAGATTACAATCTCAGTACACCGTAAGACCTAGAAAGCAATCATTGGGTTTCGCTTGACTTGGCGTTGGCTGACACGGCCTCGTTTTGAATCCATTGAGTTCTCTCTCTGGTGCTACCTGCACTGTTCTTTTAACTAGTTCCTTGCATACATACAAACCTTGGAAAACTGCTGTGAACAATATCATTGTATGCTTGTATAAGTATGTTGCGTAACTGATACCACCAGAAAGTCGCAAAAAAAAAAGAACTGATACCACCAGAAGCTTTTTTCTGTCGCCATTGCTGGAGGGCAAAGCTAACAGGTTATCATATCTCTATCTTCTCCAATGTAAGAGACAAATTCAAACTATTTTAGGTACATCAAACAATACGTCCACCGCTGAGGGGGCTAACCATTGTATACCAACAAAATTACACCTAAGATTTCAACATAATCCTTCCTCACATGCTTCAACTCGATTTGATGGCCAATGTTATTTGCATCATCCCCACCCCCATGCTTCAACGCACACCACCTCCCGCACGCCCTCCGCCTCCGGAAGTCCTCTGGGACCGGGGATCAAATCCCACACCCCCGGTGGCCAGCGCCCTTTTTCCTACGAAAAAATTAAACATCAACGCTGCTGGGAGAGAGCGTGCGTGCGCCCGGGATGCGCCCTCACCGTGGCCCGCGAGGCCGCGCCGGACCCACGCCAAAGCGTCCGCGCGTCTCCCTCCTTCTCTTGCGCACGCTTGTCGAACCTTGCCTCGTCGGGAGCCCGTGTACTGCCATCGCATGCCGCCGTCCGCCGACACGGACAAGCCGGTGAGCCTCCCTCTCCCTTCCTCCTTGGCCCCGCCCTAGCACACCATCTTGTTCCACACGAGCTTGCGCACACCCGGCACCTCTTCCAGTTCTCCTCTGTCACGGGAGCGTGGAGAACGACGGGCCGCCACCGTTGCCGTCTGCCGCCGCCGGCCACTCCAGGGCGCGCCGCGGCAATCCCATCGCACGCGCGGGCACCTCTTCCAGTTCGGCCGCTGGTGTGAGCCTGCTCTGCTCCGTCCGTGGTAATAGAGGAAAGAGGACTGGGGAAAGAAAAAGGAGTGAAGAGAAGGGTCCAGTTGTGAATATGCTAGAGACAAAGTTTTGGTGAAAGGGCCTAAATAGATTTAGAGAGAGCTTGGAGTTCCTGATTCAAAACTTACTTTTGTTCCTCGTATCGTATCCGGCCTTGGGCGAGACCCCGTGATGAGCTGATTTGAGCCCAGGTCGAGTTTTCCCTTTTAAGCGACTTTATTATCATTTCCTTTCAAATCAGTGATCTTCTAAAATCAGTAATACAAAACCAGTTTTGTTAGTCGCAGAGCTGCTCCTGTCCTTCGGTTTCAAGGCGGAGCAGCGCCAGGAGAGCGGGAGGGAGCGTGCGCGCCGAGGAAGAGTTAGGGTTTTGTTTTAGGAAATTAATGAATCATATAAGAAGGGGTTGCTTGTTGAATTTAAGTGGACCCTGAATTCAACCAAAGTTTTAATTTTTTGGAAACTTTTTTAATTTCAAGGCACCTTTGTTACCGTGTTGACTTAGTCAACATACTAACAAAGAGGTTGTTGTTGCAAAAAAATTGAAGTTATGATTTTCAAACGAGCGAGATGGGGGCGCGGTGCACGGTCAATTTTTTAAAAATATGATAATAATAATTTAGTGATTTTTTGGCATTTTATATGAATTTTGTAAACGAGATTGAATTCTAACTTTTGTGACAAAAAAACATCTTCTATGCTTTTTGAACGTGCATCGCTTCAATTTTTTGGACCTACAGAAATGTGTTTTTGGTTGAATCTTAATGAAGTACTTCAAATTTTATAGAACTAACTAACTTTGGACTTAATATGGCCCCTAACGTTAGCATGGGCAAATATACTAGTATGACTAGTGGATTAGTTGTGGATAGTCACACTTTCTGTGCTTTGCTAGTTGTTGTTTTTTTTGTGTGTTTCATATGTATTGTTTTAATAAAGATATGATAATTAGGTTTCGTGTTTTGCTTATCATTTTACGTTTTTTTGTCTTTATGTTTCTTAAAAAATATAAAAAAATATGTCAATAAAAAGCTAAAGTAAAAAAATGAAGGCATTGCTTGGCGGCTCTGCACTGTGCGGTGCAACACACGCCGCCGCCTCCTACTCTGCTTTCCTTTCCAGTTTTTAGCCCGTTCAGTTATGCTTTTGCTTTGGTTTTTAGTTTTTGTTTTTGGCTATTTGAAATTTGAAAATATAAAAAATCTGAATAAACATAATAAGAAAAATCCTTTGGATAATATTTCCATTGTACAATCTTTTAGTTGCTTTTAGTTATTTTGATTGAAAAAATAAAAAATAAGAGGGGCAGCGTGGATTCATGTGCTGCACTGTGCCGCACGGCACGCTTCTCGCGCCGGGCAACACCAGTTCATGCCGCACAGGCGCACCCATTTATCTCCAATTTTTTTTATGCACATGTTTGTCTCTCTCTCTCTTTTTTTTTAGCGAAGGCATATGCTTGTCTTTTCGTACTGTACTGAAGCAGGAGGTGACTGTTTTTTTAGTGAAGGCATGTGCTCTTTACACACCTCCGTCCGTTCCAAAAAGACCGTTGACCTTTGTTTTATGAAAAAGTTTGGACTTGTCCACACTCGTTCCTAAAACAGGTTTTTTGGGATGGAGAGAGTACCTTGCAATAGTTGAATTGTCATTGCCATGAGCAAGGTACACCATTGTGTAAATAATTTTTTGAGACTAATGTTTTGGCACAGCTAGTTTGTTCACACTAAAGGAGTTATAAGCATCTATTTCGGTTGATTCGGTCCACAAGGCAAAGTGAAGCACGATGAAAAATATGCATCGTTTCTGCCAAGCTACACGCCGGTGCAGCAGCAGTGATGCTTGTGAAGCCTAAGGCCACTCTCAGTGGGAGTTTCATGTTCTAGTTTCCAACACTCCCGTATGTTGAAAATAGTGCAGAAGAGATTCATCCCTTATGAAACTCTTCTGCGCAACATGATGCCGCGACGGCTACACATTTAAGATTGTCACCATCTACTAAGCGTTGTTTTCTAACAACTGTTATTGCCACGTTTTTGCCGGTCCTCCGAAAAACATAATCGAAATGTTTTGGACATTCAGAATCACCATCAAGTCTTATTTCCAACGAATGGAAAGACAACTTAATTTGCAGGTTCCTATGAGCGGTTATGGCCAAATCCTTGAGCACTGTTGGTGCTGAAACAGGTTCTTGACATTAAGCAGCGCCAGAGTAAAACGGCAAACGGGGAAGACTCCCTCATCCGGTATCCAATTTGGGTGAATGACCCAACTCGTTGGAAAGGTAATTTAATAATATCTTCATCGGAGCTATGATTTTGCATATGTTCTGTTCTTGACAAGGGGGAATCCACAAGAAAGATGATGGCAATGGAGGAAGGCTTGGGCAACGCTTCATCAAGATTACATTATCAAATTCAGATGTTTAACACAACAAAATCTTTAGAACATTAGCACAAGAAAACACGTGGAGTAAAGGACGGATTGTGTTTTCCTTTATCTAAAAAGTTATCTAAATTTTGTAATCTTGCAAACGTTTTTGTGAGTCTACCACGGTACCAGATGAAAAGGTTATGATACACTGTCCAGACCTTTTTTTTCGTGAAGCATAGCAACGCAAATTTATTTTAAGATGGGATCTTTAAAGACGGAACGAGATCGTCTAACTTCACCTCGAATGACTGCGCTGTGCAGTCACGACATCGTAGACGTCGGCTCACGATCGGACGATGGATACGCTAAAGTGTAATGGGCTGCCCAAATGGCAAGGCCCATCTAGCCCAGAAAGGTAATCGCAGTCGTTGTCTTCCGTAGTTTCACTCGAAGGCGTCGTCGACTGCTGCGCCGTCGGAGTCAGGTCGTCCCGTCGCGGTCCTCGCCGAGAGCTGCGCCGCGCCGTCAGCGTCCGGCTGTGCCGCGCCGTCCTCGCCAAGAGCTGTGCCACGCTGCCCTCGCAGACCGCCGCTCGGTTGCCGTCCTTGACGAGCAGCCATCCTCGCCGAGCGTGTCGCCGTCGCTGTTGCCGTCACCGGCCTGCGAAATTTCCATGTCGCCCACCTTCTGCACGTCTTCCGCCTCTGCAGAGCTCCGGACATGGCTGCTGTTCCACGGCCTTTTTTCCCCTTTCTAATTTCTATTGCTAGCTTGCCTGTAAATTGACATTTGTGCAAGAGCTAGTACTGTGTAACTTGTGATTGTATCGAAGGCAACAAATCATGCAAATTGTATAGCTTTCCATTGTGTTGCAAATTGTCCTGGAATTGTAATGCTGATTGTTGCAAGTTTGATGAACAAAAGGCTCTGCTTTTCACAGATGCAATTCCCTGAATGTAGGTTCAGAGATGCACTTGACGCTCTGTTGTTCAGAGATGCAGTTCCCTGAACTTACACTTCAATGACAAATATTTCATGAGGCTATTCTTCAAAAGCTACTCTCCTAAACAATCTATGTTTCAGGAAGCAACAGATTTAAAAAAATATATTCAGATTGCAGCAAATGTCCATGCTACTAGAAATCAGCAATAACATCATCTGTGACTGTCCCCTGCAAAATAAAAGGTTGAGAACATTTGAGAGAATGTATTGACGGCCATGTATGTTTTAGTAGAATGGTGTAATAGTTTGAAATATTACCGTCAGTATCTGAGAGAATGTATTGATAGCCATGTACTGTTCAGACATTTCTTCCATGGGCAAAGAAATACTTGGAGAAATATTTTGCACAGCTACAGTTTCTTGTACTGCTCCTTCTTTTTCTTTTTTCTTACCTCCCTTCTTTACAGTTTGTTGTTCCTTTGAACCATTTTCCTTTTTCTTACCTCCCTTCTTTGCCGTTTCTTGTTCCTTCAAGTAAAAAAAAAACAAAACTGAATATATTTTCTTATTGAACATGCTGAAAGAGAATCAAATGTATTTTGTGTTATCACTTACCTTTGAACCATTTTCCTTTTCCTTACCTCCCTTCTTTGCAAATTTACGTCTTTTGTCAAGCCAATTTCTTTGGCGCCTTGAGGTTTTAGTTTCAATGTCCTTTTTCTTTAGGCTTGCTGTGCTCAGCAAATTAATTGGGGGCGAATCATTTGTAGGAACATTGATAGGCTCCATTGCACTAGGAAAACCTGTGATTTCTTCTTCGACTTGCTTGCTAACCATGTCAAGTGCATTGTTTACTAATAAGACGCACCGTGGATGACTTGCAGCTCGGTGTACCAAATTAAGAAATTTGCGAGTCATATCTTTGTAGCAAAGCATAGTATCTAATTTTGGATCCTCTACTATGTTTCGGCCTTGGTTGTCCTGTACTATCCCACTACGTGCTTCACGAGTCCATCGCTTCAATATATATTGTTCTGGGATTGACTTGATATTCATCAAATCAAGAACTTTCAGAGCATGGGCACACAATATTCCGATTCTATTGAACTGCCCACAGCTGCATGTGCTTGTTTGGTCTGTAGGGTTACCAGTAACTTTGTATTCCTTCTCAAGGGTAGGATTTTCATCAAGACTCCCAATTGCTACAAGATATTCATTTTTGTCTTCCAATGGGGTGGTGTATGCTGCCATGGACCTCTCATATTCACATTGGAAAGCTTCAAATATAATTGGTGTGTACAGCTTGCTAGCTTGTATTAACATATGTGTCCTCATTTTGAGTCTTGGTAATTTTTTCCTTGATTCAAATTCAGCTTGCAATTCATTATTTCTTTTATATTCCACAACCCTTTCAAAATGCTTAAGGAATCGAATGATATCAAAATCTGATTTGAAATGCCGCTTCAAGTCGCTGTTTAGGCTCTCACTCAATTGTGTACTCCTCATCCCTAATGTGTACACATTTGTCATATAACATTCAGCCCACTTTTCTTTTACCTTGTAGATACTATCCAACCAAGTTTGCTTGCTGGCCTTTGTCCTCATGATGTTAAATGCTTCTTGAAATGTTGCTTCATCTTCATACTCATACATACATGCACTAAAATCTGCGAGGATACTTGGTTCTTCCTTGCTATCTTCGGCCTTTCTTTTTGGAGGAGTACATGATTCTTCATCATCAGCTTCAGCTAGATTCTTGACAGCATTTTGCATAATATGAAAAGTGCACAGACCATGCCAAGCTTCTAAAAAGACCTCCTTGACAGCCTTTCCCATTGCTGCATCTTGATCACCGCCACCGTCACCGCCACGCAACCGCGGGAAAAGGAGAATGCGCTCGCGCCAAAAAGAAAAATATCGCGGCAAAGAGGAGCAGCAGACTCGGTTTTGGGCAACCACGGGATAGCGGGCGACTTGATTTTGGGCCAAGGCCCAGGTAGCAGACGAGTAAAACAGATGGATATACGGCCAACGGGCACAGGCGTCCGATCGTGAGCCGACGTCTACGATGTCATGACTGCACAGCGCAGTCATTCGAGGTAAAGTTAGACGATCTCGTTCCTTAAAGACAACAGTACTTCAACATTGTCTCAACTCGAACAGAAGGAAAGATAACTGGAGAGGCAGTTACTTTGTTCCCAAAAAGATAGATTCGGAAAGGATCTTAGTTTCAAGGAAAATTGATGTCATATATGGATGCCGGAGCAGGTTTTACTTCTTCTTGGGCACCTATTTCTCCATGGAAAGACCATGTTTCACGCATGCTGGAAAGGGGAGTCCTGAAAGGTCATATAGGATGTGTTAGCACCCAGAAAGATAGCATAAACTATATAGTTATGGCAATATTAGGCTATTTTAGTAAAAACCGTCCTTAATTGATGGCAGCAAGTTACAAAATGAATTCTGATAGTTCAATTGCGATGGGACCTTCATTAAAAAAAAAAAAAAATCAATGAGATCTTCGGTTTTGAAAGAATGGTCATGTTCGCTGGTCTTATAGGCTGTACTGTTTCAGCGAAGAAACAGTGTTTTTCTCTCACAACAAATCAGCGAACAGTACTTTCAGCCATGATTTTTCAGCGAAGCGAACAGGGCCAATATAGTTTGTACCGTAAAGAAGGAATGTCATTGCGCTTGGAAAAAAGAGCTGAAAGCATTTATGGCCTGTTTGGCAGGGCTCTGGCTCCTCTGAAAATGGCTCTGGCGCTGGCTCCTCTGAAGGAGCAGCTCCTCTGGAGGAGCTGAAGCCGTTCTGGAAAACGTTTGGTAAAACGGTTCCTTCGCACTAGACGACGTGAACCCACAGTAAGGAGCCGCACAAAGCTTGTTTTTGAGGCTTCTCCTGCGCAGACAAAAAATGGCTCCGGCTCTTGACCGGCTCCCCATGCAGGACCATTTCCAAAATAGACGTTTGGCAAGCTGAAGCTCGTGCAGGAGCCATGCCAAAGAGGCTTAGACATTGAATTTAACGTGTCTCTCTGCTTGTTTACAAATGCTCAGTGCGACCAAAGAAATTCAGTTTGTTTTAGTTGACAACCTTTGCAACTATAAAAACAAAGAAATTCTTCTTGAATATCGAAAACGGAACATAACGAAATTAGATGATCTGAACAAAGATCATCGGCATGACGATGCCTAAGTGTTCATACCTGGTAAAAAATTGGTACACGTTTCCCATTGAGCCTATCAACAATATCCACTATGGAAGGCCTCTTTCTCCGATCAGCCTCCACACACTTTAGCCCAATTTCAATGCAAGCTTTTACTTGCTGGAGGCCATTTGAATCTAGTGATGGGTACTTGTATATTATTTGCTCATCTGTCCTCCAGTTTTGATGTACCTACATAATTGGATTTAATCCTTAGCTATAGTATATTAACTGAATGAATGGAAAGATCCTAAACAAGATGTTTCAGCCAAGTAAAGCTGTGTTACATTGTCCACAAATTTCCTTGCAGCTTTGTCTTGAGGGTCAGAGACTGCACAGTTCTTCTCTCGAATCGTGATCTCGATAATAATCATGCCCAAACTATATATGTCTGACATGGTGGAGATTTCGCCTCTATATAGATATTCCGGAGCCATGTACCCACTGCAAGAGTTTATCGAAGAATCAAATATTCACATGTCAATTACTTTATTTAATTTGAAGGAAAATCTTATATCACAGTTTGTTTCGACTTACTTTTGTCCCTTAACATTGACCGTATACATCCGGGTCTGCTCTTGTCCAAAGAGTCTCGAGAGACCAAAATCGGCAAGCTTTGGCACCCAGTTATCATCCAACCATATAGAGTTAGGCACAAGATTCATGTGAACTAGGGAGCCAACCAATTCTTTATGACTATGAAGGAAATCTAGACCCTGGCAGATCCCCTTAATTATTTCGAACCGTGTGTCCCAGTTAATTGAACTATTCTCACCTGAAGAAGTACAAAGTAAAGAAAGTACTAATGAATTGTAAGTACCTAAGATAGTATTCTGAAAAGTGTGTATTTCTTACAGTAGTAGCAATAAATGAATATTGAAAATAATAGCTCTTTTGACAGTTGTATATATCTCTCAAGAAACAATAGTAGAGAAAGAAAGCCAAGCATGTTGGATAGTTCATTACGTACCATAAATGTGACTGTCGAGACTTCCGTTGGGTAGATATTCGTAGCATAGACAGCTTTCGGTTATTTCTACAATTACATATCTTCCATTATGCTGAATCACTTTCTTCTGCGCTTCATGGCAGTATCCAACCAGCTGTACTATATTTTCGTGCTTAATCGCCATAAGATTTGTAACCTCAGTATCAAATGCTTTGCCAGGTGCCGCTAGCGTGTTTTCAACGAGCTTTTTCACAGCAATCATGCGCCCATCCGCCAGAGCTCCCTGTTTTGTCACCATAGATCACTAGTACAAGGATTTGTGATGCAGAATTTCATGTTTTAATTCTAGGGTCCAATTGTATACCTCATAAACTGTTCCAAAAACAGAATGACCAATTTTTCGCTCAGCAGAGAAATCATTGGTAATTTCCTTCATAAAGGTCGCCGGTAGGTTTGTTGGTAATGTACTCGCAAGACTCTGCTGGCTCGCCATTTCTGATAATTGAGGTGGCTATATGGATAGGACCTGCTACTAATCAAGTCTTATAAATAAAACACCCAAAGAAGAAAGAAAATCTCCTCAACCACACCTATGTATACATGTATTCTTCTGAAATCATTTGAAAGCAACCATGATTCTTTTCTTTTAGACTCACAAGGTGAAAAGAGGGACTGAACTGGATGCACATAAACAGATTAAATCACAGGCGCAACACCGAATTCGCACAAGCATGATTTTAGTAAGCAAAACTGTTTTACAAACAACCAGATTCTTAGGAGCACTAACCTGGAGAAAAACACTTGAAGGATACTTGCTTGCTGCAGGGAACAACACTTGAAGGAGCACTAACCGAAGGTCGTTGAAGTTCTGAGATGGATGCCTCGATTATTGCTGCAACTTATAGGAGTATAAATACAAAAGAAAGCAGAGAGAAGCTTGGGACCAACCGTGTAACAAAGACAAGTTGACTTGACCAAAGCCTAAGATGCCCAATGAGTCAGTCAATGACAATATGAGAGTATTATCGTCACGCGCTTTTGTGACTCAGGGTTGGTAGTACCTACCATGAACCTTCCATTGCTATGTACACATACTGAACGCCCCAGTGAACATATCCATAAACTGAAGTCTACTGGGACAGACATTTTTCACTTGCTCACTGGGTCACACGACCTTCCTCGTAATCAAAATGAACTGACATAACTTTTTTGTGAGGCCAGTTTCGGCTTGTATACAACCTATAGTTGCCTGAAAACTTTGTTTCAGTGGACGTCCATTTGGTAAAGGAGGTTGTTTCCCGGGAGGGTGGCGCCCGTTGTGGGGGAGCAGAACGTATAGATTTCTAGAGAACAATAAATTCTTGAACTTTCTATTAACAAAACACCTTTTCAATTATTATTAATAATGAATTCATTAGGCTAATGCATAGTTGAAGGACCGGAAATAGCGAGCAGAGAAGGGGTGAATGAGAGTCAATAAAAATTCTTCTTAAAGAAAGAACTCGGCCTATGTCCCAAATCGACACACCCACTCCTCTCCTCTAGCTTTCAATAAGGTCTAGTAGAAGTACCACTCCTACCAACCCTAGGGATGGAGCTAGAAAGATGCAGAAACAACACAAAAAGATTAAGAGAAAAACTCAAGAACACAGTGCAAATCGGACCGATCCGGTATGCATATAGAACCTGTCTGGTACGACTATACAACATGCGTAACTTTTGGAGAAAAAAGGTAAAAACAATCAAACAGTCTCCAAAAATTATGAAATTTAAACCAGAGGTTAATACCAGCATAAGGAAGCACTCCCCAGAAAATCTCCAAAAAAAATCACAAGTCGAAAATACCGGACCACCAAACCGGACCGGTTCGGTATCAACAGGCTGAAGTGAACTTTCTCCAAAAATTCAAAACTGACTCAAATCAACTCAAAAAAAGTGAAACTTGGTGGAGAGCTTGACTAATACATGGTGAAGGTAATACCACAAGATCTGTCTAGAAATACATTGTGAACTTTTTAGTTGCTAGGGACATAAACTCTTATGTAAATCTGGGTTCACAAATCCAACTTTTTAGTTGTTAGGTTCTGAAATTAAAACTAAAATCGTTTCCTGCAGATTTTTGTAAGTTGTTTGGTCCTTCTTTGGCCATTTTCACGGTTATTTTCTTGCTACTATAAATTTCTGAAGCAATTGCTTGGTTGTTTAGAAAGGGATAAACGGCATTGCTTTTCACATAAGGCCCACGAGTGTTTAGGGTGGGGGTGAGATATGTTTTTTCTTGGAGCTAATTGTACAAAAAAAAATCTGACCACTCAGCTGCATCGAGTTAATTGTCTGCATATTGAGCACCCGTCAAAGAGAACGAGAATACTCCCTCTATTTCACATTATAAGTCGCTTTGACTTTTTTGGTTCATCCATTTTGTTACATATCTAGACATATTATTATATCTAGATGCATAGCAAAATGGATGTACCAAAAAAGTCAAAGCGACTTATAATTTGGAACAAAGGGAGTAGCTTCGATTTCAAGGTATCTCGTGTCATGCCTTGAATGTGAAGACATGAACACAATTGCTCGAAATCACGTGAGTGAGTTTAGGGGTTTTCATCTTCTTCCCCAGCAAAAGATTGTTCCTGAACCTTGGCTATGAAACTAGGGCGAAGCTCATAGCGAGGTGAAAGGATGGGTTGTGATGATGCTGGTGGCTCCAAACAAGCGCCCTTCGGAGCAACGGGATGAGAGATGGATGATTGGTTCATGGTGTGGAAAGGATAAAAGGAAAGAAAGATAAAAAGAAGGATAACTCGGACGACTCGATTCTAAGTTAAGACAGCTACCGTTCCCCGACAACGGCGCCAGAAAGCTTGTTGACACCAGAAGTGGCAAATGGATAAACCGCAAGCGTACGGTTGTCAATGTAGCCTTCAACGGGAGTATTCCAGGTATCGATTTCCACGGGGAACGTGAAGTGAACTAACGAAGGATCAAGACCGTCCTATGATAATACAAGGAGTCTATGGCACTTGGGTAGAGAGGATTTGTATAGCGAAAATATCTAAGGAGGTAAGGTAGATATATTGGCATAGTCCTTGCTCACAGAGGCGGTAGGTGAGACAGTAAGAGACAAAACTCTTACCCGAAACAGCTACCTTGTTACCGGGGCCTTACCATTTTAATAACTTTCCTAACAACACGTGGTGGAATACAAAGGCTAGACAAGGCTGTCACCACTTGCTAGCTATCGTGAACAATCAGTGCGACAAGCGGTATACACAGGTGTCGCAGGGTTGGAACCACATCAAGCATTGTTGTTCGAGTCGGTGTTAGAGTACATATCTCTGGTGGCTCGGGTGGACTCAAGAACACAAGAATCACAGAGGGGACGCAATGGTTTATCCTGATGATCCTTATACTCAAGAGCACCCAAAATCGGGGGGTTACAACATAGTGTAGAGAGAGATTTGGTAGGGGGTTACCTCAGTGCTAATCCTATGGTTGCCTCGCCGTCGGTGGAACCTTCCCCTTGTTGGAGAGGAGGAAGACGATGGGTGCGGTGGAGGAGCTCTTGGTGTCCCTCTCTGGGTTGCTCAGCTCTCAGTGCTGAGCAGGAGCGGATGGAATGAGGAATGGAATGATCTATCTGGGATCGTCCTTCCCCCTCTAAGGTCCGACCTTATCCCTTATATACCAAGATAGGTCAGGTACATGGCGATTTGGGGGAATGTGTATATGGTCTACATGCGCTGGAGTCCATGAGGGTCTTGCAGCGGCGCTCTGTGGACCATGACGATGTCATGGAGCTGAAGAAGCCTTGTGCGCTGTCCAGCTGCTCTGTTCTAACACACTGCGTGTCAGGCTGTGTCGGTTTGGACTGGCCTCCCCTAGGTGGACCTTCTAGAGTCATCTTGGTGGCGATGGAGGTCGACTCCAGGGGCTGACGTGCGGGCCCAGGAGCCCCCTAGCCCCTGGAGGCCAAGGGAAACTTGTCTTCTTGTGTCACACCCCGTGCGTGACCCTATCACGGGAGTGGCCGGCAAGGCCACGCCCAAAGCGCGGTGTCTAGGAGCCCCTAAGCCCTGATGGCTCAGGGCTTGTCTTCTTGCGCCCGGGCCTTGGCTGGCGTCATAAGCCGGGAAGGAGCCAAGGGCCGAGCTCGGGCGTGTCATCGATCGGGAGACTGAGGCTCGGGCGAGCCCCCGAGCTCTGAGCCAGGACTACTGAAAGCTCTAGTTTGGTTTTGGTGAGTTGATGAAACCCTAAGTGCTAACCTAGTTTATCAAAATGATTATGAGATAGGTAGCACTACTCCAAGTAATTAAGCATATGAAGATCATGGCATGGTGATGATCAAATGCGTGGACTTGGAAAAGGAGAAAGAAAAACAAAAGGCTCAAGGCAAAGGTGAAATTGATAGGAGCTTTTTGGTTTAGTGATCGAGACACTTGGAGACTGTGATCACATTTAGGATCGATAGCCGTACTATTAAGAGGGGTGAAACTCATATCAAAATGCGGTTATCAAAGTGCCACTAGATGCTCTAACTCATTGCATATGCATTTAGGATCTAGTGTAGTGCTAACACCCTTGAAAATGTTTGTGAAAATATGCTAACACACATGCACAAAGGTGATACACATTGTCTTTAGCACTTGGGAGCAAGGGCTCAACACTCCACCGGTGGAGTGTCCGACGGTGCCACCGGCGCCCTATACAGAAAAGACAGGGTTTCACAGAGTGCACTGGACGCTGGTCACGCAGTGACCGGACGCTGGGGTCCTGCGTCCGGTCAGTGGCAGCAGAGAGCGCGTAGGCGTCGCTCTTCGACTGGATGCTGGCAGGGCACGTTCGGTCAGGCTGACATACGGTGACGTAGGCGACGTAGAGAAGTTAGAGAGGGACCGGACGCTGGTCTGCGTTTGGTCATGGTGGACCAGACGCGTCCGGTCACGGTTGAGCAGCTCTCGGAGCTTACTAGAAGTGATCGGATGCTGGGGTCCTACGTTTGGTCGAATGTGACCGGACATGTCCGGTTGCGACTGGAATCTTACTAGAAACGACTGGACGCTGGGGTCCTACGTCCGGTCACTTTGAGCAGCGTGTCCGGTCACTACCTAAATGTACCGATGACCGATGAGAACGGGCGATCAGCGTTTGAAGCAAGGGCCACGTGGCGAGCATCGTGTGACCGGACGCTGGGGTCCTGCGTCCGGTCGCCCCAATTTTTAGTGGACTGAGGATCCAATGGCTCTATTTCATGGGGGCTTCTATTTAAGCCCTATGGCTGGCTCAAGCTCATTCTCTTGGCCATTTCCATTGACATAGCAACCTTGTGAGCTTAGCCAAAGCCCTCCCACTCATCTCCATCTTTGATTCATCATCTTTGTGAGATTGGGAGAGAATCCAAGTGCATTGCTTGAGTGTTTGCATCTAGAAGCACTTGGTGTTCGTGTTTCGCTAGGGGATTTGCTTGTTGCTCTTGGTGGTTGCCGC